ACACTTGAGTCTGTCCGGGAAGTATGGCAGGTGATGGACAGAAACCGTCCGTAATAGATTGCCGAATCTTGGGTATGTGAATAAGTCATGGAACAGAGGGGTCTTCGAGGGTCTTCTGCGACATATACGTGGGAAGGGAATCTATAGGCGATGTGGGCTGTGATACATAGGGGAGTGCATTTTGTTTCGCCCAATTCCGCGTCCCGAGGGAGGTCGTAGGTCGACGTAAATTTCTTCTGTGGAGTGATGATCATCAGAAGGACTTCAAAGTCGGGCGGACTCGGGACCGAAACTGTTTCTCTGAGAGTGGGGTCAGACGTTCGATTCCGACGGGTCGTACCGTATACCCACAACGGTCAGATCCAGGTAACCAAATTTTGAGAACGAACGGGGAAAGAATGTATTCGCCACCTGTTAATAAGGATTACTTACGCGTGGTCCGCGAAGTCCGCGACTCCCGCCAAGACGGACCCGCGGTATTTAGCGCTCAGGGTTACGGTGCCCTGAGTTTGCGACGATGTAGATAGAATTTGATGTACCTAACGCTAGAGCGAGTTGGCGAAGTTGGCGATGCCACTCGATGACAATTGCTGCCGGATTGAAGAGGGACCGAAATTTGAGAGAGCAAATTCAGAGAATCAAGAGAGCAAGAAACTTGGAGAGACGGCGGGAGGATCCGGAACCACACTGTCCGATCCAATCGCATCACACCGACGGACATTGGATTGGCTGGGCCGAAACGAAGCCTAAGGTCTCTTCTCTCTCACTGGTTCTTCTTAACCTGCTGCCACAGCTACTATTTTAGTCCTGCTAGAGCAAAATGCAAAGCAAGCGGCTAGGTCTGGATGGCGCTACATCAAGGCTCAAAACTTTGACTGGTTGTCTTCTCGGCGACGGCGTTGGCGTGCTTCCCAAGCGCTTCCTCAGTACAATAGCCTCATCTCGCTCATGACTTGAATGGCGATTATTGGGGCGCCGGACTTGAATTCTGTTTCTATAGCTACGTAGCGCTCCAATCGCGTCGAATGCCGCTGAGCTCAATCTTACCTCGAAGTCCGCTGAGTCTTAAGTTTTGTCGACGAGGCGGCGCCTACACTGCTACTATGTACACTTCAGGCACCTCGACCGTTTGAAGCGCCACAACGCTCTCCTCCTTCATTTGAAATGATGGATCAACTCGTCTAAACTGTTCTCGATCGTCACATTCTCGCCATACTGAAAACTGGCCGCCGGGGAAAGCATCCACCGGACGTCAACCCCCTGAACGAGAACCGCTCTCAACGCCTGGAGCTGGGTTCGAGTCGTTTTCCCGGGCGCTCGGACTCAGCCCGCCGTACTGATCAAATACCGCTGCTTCATATTCACTCGTGCGTCCCCCGAATCCTAGACGCGCGTTGGCCGTTTCATTGCCCTGTCTTCGAACCTCCTCATCTTCCTATTGCACTTTTTCCTGTGTCACTCGGCTTTGCTGTTTTTTTTTTTCTGGCTCCGATGGTCGGCTCTTCCTTTCGTTCCTGTACAGCAACCGTGATGTTGCGACCCATCTCGCTCTGCGCATGGGTGCGTCACCATGGGCGACTGTGTTACCACTACTGCATTCAGACAGGCACTATTCATATCCCAGCTCTCCACGCCACCCTTCTTCCGTTCTCGAATATTAGAAGCGAGAGGTCGGACTACCGTCACGGGATTAATTCCAAGGTTGGACCCGGCTGATCCCGCACTGCGTGCTCGTTCAGGATCCGTGACTCTCAGCTACGATAGATCCACGCCGAGCGCCGACCGAGAAAACTGCGAGTCTAGTGAACGTAAAGAGCAACGAATGTGGAGCAAATAGGGCGGCGAATACATCGATCCCATTCGATACCATCGACGCGAGCAAACGGAAGAGCGGGAGACGGTCGAGGAGACGGTCGAGTAGTTCGTTCTCCGGAATTTCCGAGCCAAATTGAAGTGAACTCTCTGAACTTGCGACCAACGCAGATTATTAACGACAGAATACCTACGATTGGGACCGATCTTCCTCCCTGTGTTATGTCAAGTCTGGCCGTTCGCCGCCCTGAGGTACCTCCGCTTCATCCCCTCCTACAACCGACTATACTCCTTCCCATGCACGCTGAATGCGTGTTTCAGCTGGGGTCTTTTGTTGCATTTGTCTGCGATCGGTCGTGGTTAGAGTCCCTTAGATGTTGTTTGAGAACGCCTGGTGGTGTATTGCAACACATCATCTGACTATGTGTAGAGTGTGTCCCTTCTGGATGAAGCTCCCCGTTCGATTCGGGGTCAGGCTATTCGGCATTCGGGTTGTGTTCTGTTTTCTTGCATCGTCCATGACTGAGTAGTTTTTTTTCTGAGGGCATTGTACTCACTTTTTCTGTTTTAGGAGACAAGTTTTATGGATCAAGGAGCCAGTGCTTGACCATAATTTCTTTCCATGCTCACAACAAGGGCACGGTGTATGTAGCTTTAAAAAAAAATTGTGTTGTGGTGCTTGTTGAAGCACTGACAGTTTGCAGGAGCTGGTGGTTATTGTCATTCTGTGCCTGAAGCAAGGCTCTGGTTTAGGCTGTCGAAGATGTGGTTTGAGAACGCCTGGTGGTGTATTGCAACACATCATCTGACTATATGAAATGTGTATTCCAATCTGATGAAGCTCCCCGTTCGAAGCGGGGCCAGGCCATTCACCGTTCAGGGTGCGTTCTATTTTCTTGCATCATCCGCGACTTCGACTTTTGGGAGTGCATGCGTACTCATTGTTTTTGTTTAGGTAGGAGACCAGTGTTGATCTATCGACCAAGGACCCAGCACTTGACCCTGATTTCTTGTTAGAATGCCAACCCTTTCTTCAACACCACAAGGGGAAATGTAGCAGAAGACCCCGCAAACATGCAGGGAATTCGTTCTTGCACTGCGCACTACAGATTTAATACAAGAGTACGAGGCGGCGGCATTGAAGAGGGATTTAAAATCAGATGATCCCGAAAATGAAGTCGCCCGAGTCGGGAACCGGAATGGCGGCAGGAATGCAGACATAATTCTGGGGAAAGAGGAATTTCCGGAGTTGGTGAAGTTTCGAGTGGGAATTTAGCGAGAAGACTTGGGGTGCAGTCAGCCTTGGCGTGTGTTGGTGGTTGGGGCCGTATAATCCAACACTTTTTCATGCTCACAGCAAGGATCGGGTGTCTCTAAACCAGTTTGTCGGAGAGGTTGGGAAGGCTTTGGTAGTGGGTGTACTGCAACACATCCTCCAATGTTGGCACAGTCTGAATCAGTTTTCGAGGAAGTCCCCCGTTCGACCCGGGGCCAGGCCATGTCCTCGGAAGAGTCTTTGTTTCTATTTTTATTTGTGAGTATATGTGAACTCATTTTTTTTCTAGGAGACAGAGACTAGTGTTCATTTTGTGAATGAAGGAATGACGGAATGGTTGACCATCCATGAACGGCGGCAGCGGTGAACACCGACGGCATTCGACTCGGGCATCACAGAACGCTTTGGGAGGTGCCGGGTTTGCCGAGTGGACATTTGGATGTGGAAACCGGCACTTGACAAGAGACGAAGGCCTCTAATCTGCCGGGGCACACTGTCCAGCAAGTAAGAAATGTGTTTATCAACGGGGAAAAAAACACAACCCGTTCGACGGGATATATCACCAAGAACCTATTTGCACCCGAGTAAAGTATCAATTGTGTTGTGTTGCGTGTTGAAGCACCGGCATGCAACATAATTTAGGCTGTTGAAGACATGGTTTCAGAATGCCTGGTGGTGTATTGCAACATGTCATCTGACTATGATGTGGGTTTTGTAAGTTGTAATCTAGATGAAGCTCCCCGTTCGACCCGGGGCCAGGCCACTCTGCAAAGATGGTGTTATTTTTCTTGCATCGCCCACGAGTGTGTTTGAGTATGTACTCATTGTTTTCTTTAGGTAGGAGACTTCGAGGTTCAGATCAGCTGGCGGCACCACTGCACTGGATCAGGGAGCAGATTGCTCTATGTTGCCATAGATCAGATCCGGAAATGAAATCGTCCGGGACGGGATTATATTGGTGAGAGCTGGAATGGCAGCAGGAATGATGGCAGGAATGCAGTAAAGAGGAATCTCCGGCGTTGGTGGAGTTCCGAGTGGGAATTTAGCGAGTAGGCTTGGGGTCCGGTCGAATTGAAAGTGCGTTGGTGGTACGGAGTCAAGGGGGCAGCAGTTGTATAATCCAACTTGTGTCCAGGTAAACCAGTGTGTAGGAGAGGTCAGACAGGCCTGGTGGTGTACTGCAACATATCCTCTGTCTATTGTTTGTTTAGCAGTTCTCATGAAGCACCCCGTTCGAACCGGGGCCAGGCCACTTCGTTTGTCTTGTTTCTGAATTCCCCCCCCCCCTCTCTTCAATCATCATTCGGAAATATACAACTCGCCCAATGGTTTAAGTTGAAGAATCAAGATCGATATTCACATTTCATGTTATATTGAGTGCAGTGCACAGCAGTTATTCATGGACTCTGAGCATAATTCAACCTACCTATAGTAGAGTTGTCGGTCTCCAGCAAGGCCTGGTGGTGTAGTGCAACACATCCTCCGTTTGTGATCAGTTCTTCTTTGTTATCCTGAGGAAGTCCCCCGTTTGACCCGGGGCCAGGCCATTCCTTTGTGAGTTTAGTTTTTTACCACCAAATTGGTAAGTAGTGCAGCTGTCTATAGCAGAGTTGTCAGTTTGTAGCAGGGCCTGGTGGTGTATTGAAACACATCCTCTAGAGTTAAGACATTAAAAACAGTCGCTGAATCCGAGGAAGTCCCCCGTTCAAACCGGGGTCAGGCCACTCCCTTTGTATTGTGTCGGAATTTTTTCCCCCCTCTCTCTTCAACCATCATCCGGAAGTTTCCAACTCGCTCAATGGTTTAGGCCAAAGATTGATTTGTGATTTGATATCACATTAAGTGCATGCTGGGTTCGTGGATTTCAAGCATACTTCAACCTACCTATAGCAGAGTTGTCAATTCCCAGCATGGCCTGGTGGTGTACTGCAACACATCCTCTTAAATTATATCTTTGGCCTCGTTTCCGAGGAAGTCCCCCGTTCGACCCGGGGCCAGGCCATAGTCTGATAACTCAACTTTTTGCTTTATTTCAAAGTATATGTGTACTCCCTTTCTTTTAGGAGACCTGTGTTCATTTTGTGAATGAAGGAAGGAAGGAGCGAATGGTTGAGCATCCATGAACGGCGGCGTTGAACACCAACGGAATCTGAATCCGCCATCATGGTTCGGGAGGTGCCGGGTTTTGCCGACACCATTTATCGTTATTCAACCAGGCTATACCTATAGCAGAGTTGTCAGTCCCCCAGCAGGGCCTGGTGGTGTACTGCAACACATCCTCTTGAAATTTTAAATTTCGTAGCTGTTTCCGAGGAAGTCCCCCGTTCGACCCGGGGCCAGGCCACTTCTTGAATTCGCTTATCATTTTTTTGGAAGATTCTCGCTGACTGCGATTTTGAGTATGTACCACTCATATTTTTCAGGAGACTCGTGTTCATTTTGTGGATGAATGAAGGAAGGACGGAATGGTTGAGCATCCATGAACGGCGGCGGCATCCGATATTGGGATTCAACTCGGGCATCAAATCATGGTTCGGGAGGTGCCGGGTTTGCCGAGACGATTTATTGTTACTGGACATCAATTGCATTGGGAACTGCATTGCACACTACAGATTAAATGAGTAGTATACGAGATGTCGGCAAGAATGATCAGACTCGGAACCGGAAATGAAATCGTTCGAGGCGGGAATGGTGAGAGCCGGAATGGCAGCAGGGATGCAGGTGTAATTCTGGGGAAAGAGGAATCTCCAGAGTTGGCGGAGTTCCGAGTGGGAATTTAGCGAGAAACCTGAGGCCCGGGGTCCAGTCAAAGTGTGTTGGTGGTCAAAGGGGGTGTGAGCACATGCAGTTGTACATCCAACAATTGGTGGTGCACCTAGCCTACCTATAGCAGAGTTTCCAGTCCCCAGCAGGGCCCGGTGGTGTACTGCAACACATCCTCTTTAAATTCAGTAATACTTTGTAACGTTTCCGAGGAAGTCCCCCGTTCGACCCGGGGCCAGGCCACTTCTTGAATTCGCTTATCATTTTTTTGGAAGATTCTCGCTGACTGCGTTTTGAGTATGTATTGCCCATTCGGAGACTTGTGTTCATTTTGTGGATGAAGGAAGGATTGAATGGTTGAGCATGATTTCTTTCCATGAAAGGCACATCACATCAGGCTTCGGGAGCCGGGTTTGCCGAGATCATTTATCGTTACTTGGAGAGAAACTGGATTTGGAAACCGGGGATAAAGACCTGCGAGGGGCCGCCGTGGGCGTAGAAATGCACTTATCACCGCGGGAAGAAAAGAATTCGTTCGACCAACGTTCGACGGGCGCCGTCGACGTCATTCCACGGACCGCCGACAACTGTCGACAACTGTGGAAAATCCGACGGGACGGGCACGGCAGGCATGGGAGTTATCGGATCGCGACGGGCACGCCTGATGATCCAACATCAGTTCAACTTGTTGTCAGTTTCTGGCATGGCCTGGTGGTGTATCTGCAACACATCCTCTTAAATTATATCTTTGGCCTCGTTTCCGAGGAAGTCGCCCGTTCGACCCGGGGCCAGGCCATGTCCTGGGAAGAGTCTTGTTTTATTTTATTTTTGAGTATATGCGTACTCCCTTTTTTTTGGGAGACTAGTGTTCATTTTGTGAATGAAGGAAAGGACCGAATGCTTGACCATGAACGGCGGCGTTGAACACCAACGGGATCTAAATCCGCCATCATGGTTCGGGAGGTGCCGGGTTTTCCCGAGACCATTTATCGTTATTCAACCAGGCTATACCTATAGCAGAGTTGTCAATTCCCAGCTGTTGTAGGTCAAGAGTTCAGGGTCTGCGACCGTTCTCTTCAGACTGATATTATATTAGGAATATCATACTACTCACCTGCGACCGTTCTCTTCAGACTGAAGAGATCGGCGCAGGCTTCGAACTATTACATGACCCTCAATAACCAAACACGGCCCTCGCTCCGCCTCATCCCAATCGGGCGAACTGGATGCGAGGTCAATACTACAACACTCCCACTGACCTCGCTATCCAGCAACGTTGGTGTCCAAACCAATCATACGGCGGCAGCGTAGAGTTGCATCGCGTGGGAGAACTTTTGTAAGGAGGTCGGTGGGATTTTCACCAGATGGGCAGTAGTGGATAGTGATATCCTTGTTGTCGATGAGGTCGCGGATATAGTGGTACTTCAATGCAATGTGCTTTGCTTTGTCGTGCATGGCAGGGTTCTCTGCAACGGATATCGTGGACTGGTTGTCGCAATGCATTGGCGATGGCTCGTCCAGTGGTTTCTCCATTAGCTCCCGAGCAGATGTCGTACGAACATGAGTTCCCTGCCCGAGTGGCTACTGGCGATGTATTCGGCTTCCATGGTTGATTGAGCGGCGACGCTCTGTAAGCGACTGATCCACGAGATGGGCCGCCGGCGAGGAGAACGAGCGTACCGGATGTAGAGCGCATCTTGTCCTTGTCACCGGCCCAATCCGCGTCGTGTAGCAGAGTAACGTCTCGGCTATGGGCGTAGCCAAACGACCTGGTCCGCGGTACGTGATGCCCAAATCGAGCGTACCTTTGATATATCGTAAAAGATGTATCAGCGCGTTCCAATGGTCAATTCCCAGGTTGAGCTGAATCGGCTACCGACACCCACTGCGAAAGCCAAGTCCGCACGTGTGCCAAGCATCCCATACATCACGCAGCCCAGAAGGCCGAGGTAATCCTTGCCGACCATAAGTTGTCGCTCCTCGGCCGTCTTCGGTGACATCTCCTTGGTAAGTTTCATGCCGACTGGAAAGGGAGTTGACGCAGACCGGCAATCTGCCATCCCAAAGCGTTCAAGCACACCCTGGAAGTATTTCTTCTGGGAAATTCGGACTGTCTGGGCCTCGAGGTCCTGAGAAATCTCTAGGCCGAGACAATATGAAGCAACACCAAGATCCTTCATTTTGAGACGGGTCGAGAGCTTAGACTTGATAATATCCCAGGTAGCTTTGTCGTTCGTAGCCCCTTGTAGGTCGTCAACGTACAGGGCGATGACAACCACGATATCGCCACGTCGGCAAAGATAGATGCTATGGTCAGATTGTAGGCGCGTGAAGCCGAGGGATTTGAATATGGAATCAATGAGCCGATACCACTGGCGGGAAGCTTGCTTGAGCCCGTAGATTGATTTGTGAAGTCTCAAGACCATCTCCTCGCCTTGGGCATTGAGTTTCGGGGGAAGTCCGGGTGGCTGCGACATGTAAATTTCTTCATCAAGATCGGCGTTGAGGAAAGCGGGTGACGACGTCCATTTGGTAGATTGTGAGGCCAAAATGCGCAGCGACGGCGAACATAACGCGGAGGAGGTGAATTTGACGACGGTGCAAAGTCTTTATAGTCGATCCCGTAAATTTGCGTAAACCCACGTGCAACGAGGCGCGCTTTGAACGCTCAAACTCGTTCCACTGGTTGTACTTCACGCTGAACACCCACTTGCACGTCACTACCTTGCGTCCCTCTGGAAGATCGACATACTCGAACGTCCCTGTCTCAATGAGTGAGCCAAACTCCTCCATCATCGAGTTCGCCCATTCCTCAGAATGTGCACCAGCCATTGCTTGCTTGAATGTCAAGGGAACAACAATTGGCAGCGTCGGGACGTGTGCAGCACGAGCCTGTGCTTGAAACTCCTCTTCCTCCTCCTCAAGCACAGGTGCGTCCGCAGGTGCCAATGGCACCGTCACAGTCTTGTGTTTATAACGTCCTTTCGGCAGGTTCGCGCGCTCGTCCGCCATCCCTGCAAAGCGCGGTGGAAGCTTGCGCACTCTCGGCGCCATTGGCTCGTCCACGACGACCTCCGGCGCTTGCTCCTCCTCTTCCGACTCGTACACGTCCGTTTCTTGAAACTGGTCGACGACAGGTGTAGATGGATCCTCAACGGTGGGGGCCGGCTCTGCGGCGGGAACGGGAGTTGCAGAAGGGTTCGGGACGATGGGTGGCAGGTTACGAAGGTCCGTAATAACCTCACTCCATCCAGAACTCCTTCCGCGTCAAAAAATGTACATCCCTAGATTTCCAGACCTTGCGCGTCACCCGGTCGTAGCATTTATATGCTTTAGATTGCGTACCCGGCAGTGTGTAGTAGCCGAGCAGAATGCATTTCACTGTGACGTCCGAGAACTTTGGGCGGCCCTTGGCCGGCAGAGCCGACACCCACACCTCGCAGCCAAATGGCCTCAAATGGCTAACGTCTTGGCGCTCCCCCGTCCACACCTCCTCCGGGATACGGCCATCCAAGGAGGACCGTGTCGGACAGAAGTTTCGCGTCGCGGCACCATACGCAACTGCGTCGGCCCAAAAACCGATTGAAAGGTCGGCTTCGCGCAAGTTAGCCCGAGCGCTATCTTCGAGCGCTATCTTCGAGCGTGCGGTTGATGCGCTCAGCCACGCCACCTTGCTGTGAGCTATGTGGGGCTGTTGTCTGGTGCACAATGCCTTCCGACTCGAGGTATGCCTCGTACTCGTCGGAGGTGTATTCCCCACCGTTGTCTGTGCGGACCTTGCGAATCTTCCGCCCAGTCTCTTTTTCGACACGCGTCTTCCATGCACGGAAGCGTCCGAGTGCGTCACTCTTCTTCTTCATAAAGTCGACATCGACATGGGCCAAGTGATCATCCGTGAAGGTAATGAAAGTAGCGGCTTCCGCCGATGGAATTGGGGAAGGGACCACAGACATCTGAATGTACGAGGTCTAGAACACCAGCAGCCCTTTTCCTCCCCCCTTTGGAACGACTTGCGCGGTGTCTTTCCACGAAGACAAGACTCGCACGAGAAATCATCCCCAACAATTTCCATGTCCAGTCCATCAACCATCCGTTTCGCGATGAGTTTTCCTGAGATCAGAGATATTCAGATGGCCGAGTCGGCGGTGGAGGGTGAGGATGTCGAGTTTCTTACCGGCCGACGCAGGGATTTTCGCTTTAAGAACAGAGGGCAATGTGGTAGGAGCCGGCGAGGGACCA